GTTCAGGCTTAGTCACCAAGTCAGAGATAGAAAGGATGTTACAACTGCTTTGACAATCCCTGGCTTTGTCTTTTAATGCTTGGGGTTTAGGGTGCAGGTTATCCATGAAACAAGTACATAAATTCTCCACTCTTCAGGGATACTTGGTGCAATTCTGTCCTAATCAGCATTCAAGTCAGTGGTTCTTCCAGATAAAGGCATCTCCTTCTCTCCTGGACACTAGTTCCTGCACCCTCTCTGCTGTATGCCAGAGCTCTCAGCTACATCAGGGCTGTGATCCTGGGTAAAGTGTAGGAATAGGACCAGAGGGGAGAGGATGGGAACTGCTTTTCTGAGCAGCAAATACTGTCTGAAAGGCACACCAAAGCAGAGCTTTCCCTCTCACAGCTGTGATCTGGTTCAGAGCATTCCCCTCACTGTAACAATTGTCCAGATTAGTAAACCTGAAGCTTTACAGGTGATTAAGGAGATTTTTTTTTTGTAATTCCCTCAGGAAGCTAATTCTTAAGTTCTTCTGTCATGAACAGGCAATACAGCCTATTCTTTGGTCTCTAGAGGTGCTTTTTTTCCTTTTCTTTGTGAATTAAGTTGCCTTTCTTCAGCTGTCTTCTTGTTAGTTGATATTTCCAATTAATGAAGAGCTACTCCCCACTGTGGCAATTTCTGGCATCAGGAAATAACACCCTCACCATTGTACTCTTAGATACCTCAAAATCTTTATTTTGATTCAGGGGTTTGATACTTCTTCATAATTTTGATAATTCTTCACTTCAGTAGTATAAAATATTGTTAGAATGTATTTTAAGATGTAAGCATTTAAACCAACTTCACTTCTCCTTTGTAAGATGTCTGATAAGTGGAATAAAATGCCCCGTATTTAAACAAGCAGTTCTGCCACTTGCAAGTTATTTTGTTGTATTTTATGACAGGCTGTAGCACCTGTTAGTGGATCTTCCTGCATTTAGTTGGTTATGCATAATGCACTATGCATATTTAGCTGGTGTTGTTATTGTCATGCAGAAGAAAATGATAACTTCAGCTTCTCTTTAATAAAGCAAGTTTATCATCTCTGTCCTTATATAAGGACAAATAAAATGTCCTATTTTTATTTCTTGTGTCCTATAAAAATATCCTTAATTTGGACGCAAACATTAATAAAACCTGCCTTTCTTTTTCAGGTTAAATGTTGATCTGTGAACAGTGTTAGATTTTCCTTGTTTCTCTATTTTGATTTCCAAACATGACACAAGTCTGTTTGCTAAATGATTATAAAAATCAATGAGCTGTGTAGCACAGTGCAGGATTAGCCAGGAGATGTAAAAAAAGTTCTTTTAGTGAGTGACTGCTTTTGCCTCTTTTTTGAGAGTGACTTTACAAAAAACATAGGAAGGAAAGTCTAGTTGGAGGAGTGATAGGATAAGGGCCTCCAAAATGTGTTTTGCACCACATGCATGACTGAAATGTGGACACAGAGATTCTTGCAGAATCACCTGGGTTTAGAGATCTGGGGTTAGACACCAAGAAGCTTTCAAGTGCAGAAGGGACTTTTAACCTCAAAGTGGGTTCCGGGAATGAGGATCCCAACAAAAACTCTTGAGCTGCTGCTCTCTCTGTTACAAGGTTTCTGTAGCAGTTATTCAGGGTCAGTATTCCATTGAAGACCAATGCGAAATCAGCAAGTGTTGGAAAGCCACCCCCCTCTTTATTAATCTTTAAGGTTTTCAGTAATGAATGTAATTTCTTCTCATCTGTAGAGAAGCATCTTCTCTATGGGCGCCCTGCAGTACTGTACCGCACAAAATACAATATCTTGCATCACCATGACTTTGAAAGTGGCTACAGTGAAACATTCCTGATGCCTCTCTGGACATCCTACACTATTTCCAAACAGGTTAGTGGTGTCTTTTCTCTTGAAGATATGCTTTAAAATCCTGGGGGAATCTGTTTGGTACCAATATTCTTGAAGTCCTAAAATTCCCCTTCCCCAAGTAGAGTTCCCCACCAGAAATTTTGTCAAGTACCATTGTAAGCAATGCCCAAATCCTTTTTTTTCCTTCAGAAAAAAAAAACAACAACAACAACACAGTTTTAAGGCAGAAGGGCTGTATATTTCTTCTCTTGTTCTCATTTCTTTCTAAGTTTTGCCTAAGGGGGGTTTGTTTTGTTATGGTGGAATAATCAGCAACTTCATTTGGATTTTATGCCATGGTGACTTCTGCTACCTGAAGGACGGGTTCTGTGGCAGATACAGGTGCAGGATTTGTTTGTACAGAGAGGCAGTTTATTTTACTCCACACAAGAATTTTGATGTAATCCGTTGCTTCTATGAAATAAATTTGTTTTAGCTATAAATGCTGGGATTACTTTTCTTGTCATTTCTGAACTGCGTTTGTCAATGCAGGCGGAGGTATCTGGTGTCCCAGAGCACCTGGCCAGCTGTGTGAGACCCGACCTCCGCATTTCTCCAGGAAACAGCCAGAGCTGCACAGCCTACCGAGGCGACAAACAGCTCTCCTATGGCTTCCTTTTCCCTCCTCGTAAGTCCAGATAGCTTTTTAATACCTACAGGTTTTGTAATTTTCTTTTTTGTTAGGGGAAACCATAGGTATAAACGCCTGCTGTCCCTCACCCCCCCATGTTAACTAAGGGGATTTTTTGAGGTTGTTGGGAAAGAATATAGGTAGGAATGGTTTGATTTCCCCCACCCCAAGGTGATTTCTTCTTCCATGATATCTTCTTCTCAGAGGAGCAGCTCCTGCACCAGTGTCACATATGGGCCTTCTTGGGATGGATACGTTATTCTTGCTGCACTTGCTGAGGATCAAGTACCCAGTGGCACGAGTTGCCCTTATGGCTGTGGTCCCTCAGGTCCACAAGAGATGCTCCAAACTGGTACCCAGCTTCATGCACCAAAACAATGAAGCGTCCCATTTTAGTTAATAAAAACAAAGGGGAAGGAGGAATTGCAGAGAGTAGGCGTACCAGCTAGAAGAAAGTTTTCCAGAGCTGACCCTTTAAAGTCAGTGGAAAGATAGCAATTTCTATGAATGGGGAATCTAGTCAGAGGCTGTAATTTGTAATTCAAACAGCATTAAGATAAACATATATTTAATTTATAAATCCAAATTAGATTCTTGCATACTTTAAAAATTTCTACTATCCTACAGAAATAGTGTTAGCAGAAAACCTGTGTAAGTGAGTGTTCTGAATTCTATGTGTGTTCAGTCTAGGAGCAATGTTCTTCTGGGATTAGTAAATGTTCAAGGAACACAACTGTCTCACAGTTGTGAACTTCATTGCTCTGTCTTCCTCGCTCACTTAGTGGCAGAAATATTTTGTGGTGGATTTCTGATATGGAATTACTGGTCCCACACTCCCCTCCCTGGAAATAGGTTGCCTCTTTTGTAGAAGCCTGCAAAGCAGCTCACTGACTTTTGAGACTGCAAAAAAAGATGAGCTATAAAAATATTTTGAACTGGTTGACATCTGAAGCTATTTTTTTGGAACACTTTCCATGTTCAGCTGTCCCATTAAATATGAGTTTGATGCATGTAATATGCACTTCTGAATATAGCATTCAGATTGCTGTTTAGATGACAGCATTACCTTTGGTTAATCTCTGAAGCCATTTTTCAAACCATTTTTATATTCTTTGAATTTCTGATACTTCATCTTATGAATTTTTTTTAATTGTTTTCAGAATTAAGTTCCTCTGCAGAAGCAAAATATGATGCTTTTCTAATAACAAATATCATTCCAATGTATCCTGCTTTCAAAAGTAAGTGCCCTTTCCATGGCTTTACTTCTCTTTCCCAACCTGTTCTGTTTTGTTTTTAATATGTGTGTTGGATTATGGAATGGATTGATGAGAGAAGTTTAGAACATAAAGTTCAGTTATCCAGCGCCAGCAGATAATACATGTGAGTACTTCTTAGGTTTAGGAATGAACAGGCAAAATGCCATAGGATGGCTTAAGTTTTTTAGAAATGCTTTTTTTTCCTTGGTGCTGCGCTAGGAGAAGAGCACAAATGTGTTGTAGTTCAGCAGTTTTGCTTCATGCCACAGTAATTTGGTTTGTGCAAGACCGTTTAGATTTTCTTGTCTATAGCCCAAGCTAGTGCAGAACATACTCGGGCAACATGTTTTCACTTCTCAAGTGGAGCCACCTGAGAGTGTGCACAAGCCTGGGAGTGTGCACAAGCCTGGGAACTGTACTCTTAGCACGTTGTTTTTTTTCAGGGACAAGTGATTTTTTTTTTTTTTTTTTTTTTCTCTATCCATGCCTTTAGAGGGCGACCAAACATATTTATTACCTACAAAGAAAAAGGAAGAGGAGACCAATTTATATAGGAAAAAGAGGAATGACTTAAACCTGGCTGAAACCTTCAGCACTGCAGGGATATACTATTAACGTTCCTTTTGTCTGCACATCTCTTTTCTCTCTAGTTTTGCCAAGAGGTAGGAAAACTATCAGACTATTCTGGTGGCATTTTTGGCTTGGCAGGAATTGGGAAACCTTGAAAGAATCTCAAGAGCCTGTTCTTGTGAGATTTCCAATTCAGATTTTAAGCCAGAGAGGTTTGGATAAACATCAAAGCCTACGGGAGGCTTTTTCATTTTAACCAGAAAAGAGTGTTTTTAACTGAGAAACCTCTGAGTAGGAACAAGTGGTGATATTTGCTGGAAATTTGAGCAAAGGTACTTAACTGATTACAGACTGCAAAATTATTGGGGATTTCCCACTCTCAAATCACTTCATAAAAATGCTCTTCATGCAAATGGCAGTCTAAGGAGATTAGTTGAGATGTTGATCACAGGAGAACAACTGACCACTAGCAGCTCATTTTGTGTAGTGGCCTTCCTCTTCATCACAAGTGGGTGAAGGATTCCCTGAGAACAAGTGCTGGAACTAATTCCTGGGGAATTACGAGCCACTACATGTGTGCAGATTGCAATGCTGAGAGCTGATTATAAGCTCATTACACGGAGCTTTTTGCACTAGAGGGGAAATAGGAGGTGGCAGTTTTATGCTGTGTTGGCTCTGGTGGCAAGTGCTGGCTGCAGAGGCCCCCTGCTCTGCTTTGTGTTTTGGTTTGGTTTGATTTTTAATTCAAGGTCTCATTCAGTCCCCCCAGGCAATAATTTTGTACCCATCTTTTCTGTAGTGAATCTGTCTTAAGCAGCTCCTGCATTGCTGGAGCTGCAAGATGATGGCCCTGAGATGGTCCCTCCACTGCACTTGCATTGCTGTATGGAGGCAGTAGTAACATAAGTGCTGAAAAGATGGAAAACTCAGGAAAAGAAAAGGCTTTCCTTTTTGAGATATTTTTGTTGTTAAGGCTGATGCATTAGAGGAGCAATGCTGCCAAGTGGTTACCACAGCTGAGGTTCTTATTAGACCATTGCTTGTGGGGCCCTCTGCATCAGCCTGAGGACAGTGTTCATGTGGCACTGAGCAGTCTTAGGGCAAGGTGTACTGGGGAACTTGTTGAGGCTGCCTTTGCCATCAGGAGCAGGGAACCATGGACTTAGCGGTCTGAGGTGCCAAGATGAAAGTTAAACTTTTACAAGTCTGAGATGTTTTGATTTCACACACTTTTGTTAGTGTTAAAAAGAGGAAGAAGGAAAGGAATGATGTAAATGAAATTCCAGTGTGTTTCCCATCTCTGCAAGCACCTTAACTCTCTAGGGTTGAGGATGAGGTGGCAGAAATAGTGTCATGCTTTTCCCAAAAGTTGCTGTAATGAGATGTCACCTTGTAATTTGGTCATCCTTGATAGCATCTAACTTAAAAGTTAAGCATTTTGTATCCAAGAAGAATTTAACTGGAAGAATATGACCTTTGGACTTCCTTTTCTTTTAAAATGTTTGGATTTTGCTTTTAATGACATTGTTTCCTTTCTAGAATTAAAAAAGCCACAGCCCCTTTCCCTGTAGCTAGATAAGAAAGACAAAGGAACTGCTTACAGAGACATCAAAAGTGTGTAAATAGCTGTTTCTACTGCTTGCTGAAGGAACAGCAGGGTCTCTGTGCAATGTCTATAGCAATGCCAGCCTGGGAGTGGTACTGTGCATTTCATTTATCACTGGTTGGGGAAAAAACTCAGCAGAGAACAAGCCTTTATTGACCAAAGTGAATGAAGCTGCAGTAAATCTGTAATGCTGTCTTTGATTTCCCATACCGTTATGAGAACGATGTCCATTGGATTTTTATTTTCAGGGAAAAATGATTGTTTATAACTAGACATGTTTTGACTTGTTAAAATTTTGGTGTGTTTCATTTTTTTGTTATTCCCCCCCACTGCCAGAGGTATGGAACTATTTCCAGAGAGTTTTGGTGAAGCGATATGCCACTGAGCGAAATGGAGTCAATGTTATAAGTGGACCGATCTTTGACTATGACTACGATGGTTTACATGACACACCTGACAAAATAAAACAGTAAGAGTTTGTCCTTAAATTGGGTTGCTGTTGCTTGTCTTACTGATGGCTTTATCTTAAACAATTCATTATCTGCATGTTATTCAGTTCTGGGGAGGAGATATAATTTTCTAGTTTTTCCTAAATTATTGTTCATTAAGGCTGAATGCCCCTGCACATAGGAGAGTGGTAAAAATAAGGAGATGGCAATCCAGCAAGTAGCTCTTCACCTTGACTTTGAAATAAAGTGTTTATTCGTCCTGGAGGCAAAGCTGAAATATGTTGCAAGTCATCTATTTTGTCTAAAATTCTCCAGAACAACTGGATACCAGAGCAAACCGTAGCAGTGCTAATGAGTTACATATTCAAGCATTTCATTAATTCAATAACGCTTTCTCTCTATGCCCCCGAACTGAAGAAGCCTTTCAGCACAGGCATGTGGTATTTCTATAGCTCAGTATCAAAACATGAGCTAATTGAATGCTCATTTTCAGCTAGTGTTTAGGAATCAAACACATCCCAGCAATGTATGTGTGTCTTTACATGTAGGGGAGGAAAGACCATGCTGTTAGTGTAACATTCTTCCAGACAAGTTTATCCTTTATAAATAAATGTTGTCTTTATCACCCCAGGTTTGTGGAAGGCAGCGCCATCCCCGTTCCTACTCATTACTATGCCATCATAACCAGCTGCTTAGATTTCACTCAGCCAGCCGACAAGTGTGATGGACCACTCTCCGTTCTCTCGTACATCCTTCCCCACCGGCCTGACAATGACGAGAGCTGCAATGTAAGTTCTGCTGCACTACTGTAGCCCCATGGTAAATGTATCTCTGGGACATGTGAAACACCCTTAGTATTAGATGCTAGTGCTCACTGATGTCTTGGAGCACAGGGTAGTGACTCTAAGTGTCATGTTCAACTCATTAGACAAAAGCACTCTCTTATATCAGAGAAAAATATCGAACTATTACTGCATCTAAAATTGTCTGGAAGAACTGACGTGCAGTAGGCTGGCAGTAAACAACCTGTAGGCTTCTACATTTTTGCAGACACTGTTGGTGAAACTTCAGAGCAGATTGAGGGGAGGTTGTGTGTGTAGATGTATTATGCTGGCAGCCAGCCTGATGTTTTTATTGAAACCTCTTTCCATATGCAGGTATGATACAGTTTGTCTGCTGTGGCAGTCTGAGTTCAGTTCCTTTCCTGTCTTCCTCTAGGATGCAAGATGCTTTAGTGTAAGAATCTTGGTGAAGTAGAAAGGCTCCAGTCTGGTCAGCACTGCAGAAAGTAACACAGACACTTAGCAGCTGATGGTGCAGCAGGAGAGCGGCCGGGTCCCCAGGGGCTCTTTGCTCAGCCAGGAGAGCAGAGCTCCCAGGCAGCTGTATTTAGCCTTGTCCTCCCGCTGACCTTGCTCTCCCGTACACAGCTGTGCGGGTTCCTGCACACAGACACTTCACTGCAGGCTGCCAGGAGACCGGTTCCTGGATGAACGCCTTAGTGTTATGAGTCCTGTATTGGCACTGAAAGTTAAAACTCCTCTTACAGCTACAGGCAGAAATAGTCACTCCAACTCTGTACACAATTCACCTGGAACACTGTCCTTCTCATTCATCAAACATCGCCTGCTTTCAGGTCCCTCTTTTCAAAGCTACGCATTTGGAGCATTATCTCTCTCTCCTTAGTGCGTCTGGCTTTCCACTGTTAAGACTCTTAACTGCTTTGGGCAGAGATGTCTTCCACCCAAAAATCTTGGAAAGTCCCATGTATTTTTCATTGTCTTTTTTCTCCGGACTGTTTTCTTCTGAATCAAGATCCAGTTGGTGATCTGGAAGCTACTAATCTGGCAGCTGTTAGTGCCTCTGTCCTTGTATCTTTGCCCATATGTAATTTTATTACAAAGTCTTTTTTTTTTCTCTGTATATTGCCTGTCATGGTCCTCTTAAGCATCTGAAATCTTTTTATTAACTATTTAGAATAATGGCCTCTTTTACTCTCTTATTTCTTGTATTCCAATCCAGGCTTCTTTTCTTTGTAGGTCATGCTACTTGTAGTCTATATATTTACAGTTCTGGGAGGAGCTTCAGTGATACTACAAGGTTATTAGCAGACATTGGTCTATGCTGTTTACATAACAAAGAACCACTCCAAAAATATTTAAATGCAGGTCTTGGATGAAAATATAGTTAGGCAAAATTTTGCCATTCAAATACAAGGTCAGTCTTACTTTTGCACATAGTATTCCATTTTACTTGTTCAAAGAAGTGATTGTGTAAAACCTCACTTACTTCATGGATGAAATGTGTGGGATAATATAAGAATTTTTCCGTAACCTCTCCACAGCTTTCTTGTAAGATCTGAAGAAATATTGGTTTTCCTTCTGCTCCTGTTGCACACACTTTCTCCCTCTTCACACAGCTGTTGGAGAACACCACTACTCTTCTTATTTGAATTTGTTCCATTTCAAAACTGTGTTTATTCATGGTGAGGTTATACCCGTTTATTCTTGTGTCAACATTTTTCTATGGCTTAAATAGCTCTTCACTGGGCTTCTTTGGGATTTACCCTAGCAATGATTTATGATGATTCTTGAGGTATACACTTCTCTCTCTTCATGGGAGACCTAGGATCTTTTCCACTCTTCTTGTAAGAGAGTATGAGAATTTTAGTAGGCTTTCTATGCATCTATTCCAGCCTTTTTTTTTTTTTCCCCCGTTTCTCATGAAACACAAACGGCATAAAGTACTCCAGCTGAGATCTCAAAATTACAATAATTTTCTTTCCACCAGACACAGCTCCTGTGATACTATCTAGGATTTGCTTTTTCCATAGCTGCATTATAATGGTGGCTCACAATCATGCACAACTACTACCCCCAGGACCTTATCCTCTTGCTGCTGTTTCACCTGCGAAGCTAGTGAGTTTTTGCCATCAGTGTGGATAACAGTTTCATACTATACCAGGGACTCCCACATCTGTAACTTCCAGTATGCCATTCCAGTCTTCATCTGCATTGACAGGAGCTCCCAATTGGGTGTTTTCTTTGTTTCTTTCTTTTTTACTGGCACATCAGTAACCTTGGCACAAAAAACATGTATGAAAGTGTCACACAAAATCCTTTCGAAGACCAAAGCTGAAGGAACCCTACTAGAAACTTCCTCCAGGCCACTGTTTTCCCTTTCAGCAAAACCTTTACATTTCTCCTTTAATAAGTGAGTTCTTTGCCCACCTGGCTAGAGTCTGATCGTGTTCAGCTTTCTAGCTCATAATTTGATATCCAGAGAGAATCTTTTGTCCAGAATACCTGGTACCTTTTCTAGTGCATTTTAGGTTAGCCTCCTAATCAATTGCCTATTTCTATTTTTCTCCATGTTCTCAATTGTTATTTTTGCCTTCTAAGAGTCACTGTACTATTGAGGTGAGACAGACTGGCACAGATGGGGAAAATTTTCATTTTAAATGTATACGCTTCATCCATTGTTCTGCAGTAATATAATACCATGTTAGCTGATAACTGTATACAAAATTCTTACTGCTTCGCCTGAGTTTTCGTGGGCCAGTTGTGGAGGGGAAAAACTAAAGTATATATCAGTTGATTGATTTTCTGGGGCCATGCAAATGTTTTCTTGGTGGACTTGTTTTAAACCTGCCTCACAGTCTTTTGATTTATTCGTGTTGCAAATCTTTTACAAACTCTTAGGAGACCTCCTTGTATTAAAAAAAGGTGATCTGTGTAGCAATCTGATTTCCCTCTGAGCTCTGTAAAATGCAGATTTCATGCTCAGAAGGAGGTCTTGAAGACAACAGAAATTGTCACAGTGATTTTGTTTGCAGTTATAACCCTGTTGAGGCCCATTTGCAGGCTAGAAACCTGATGGCCAAGCTGAAGGCTGAGCAAAAGTCTTCCTGCAGCTGCATGTGGCCAGACAGCATTCATGGAGCACGGCACCATGGGTGAAGGGGAGTGAGCAGGGCACGCTCCCTTCTCTTCCCTATTAATTTGCCTCTTTTGCATTTGCAAAAAAATTTACATTTGCATCTAGATCTCTGTTCCAGACCTATGTTTAGGCCTTGTGTTGATAGTGACATGGAGAGGGAATTTGGTGTGGAACTGGAAAGCTTCGAAACAGAGAAGCTGACTGGGTCATGGGTGTTTGCTTTAGAGCAGCCAGCTGGGACCTAGCTGGTACTTCATGTCCTCTCTGTGCAAACGATCACCCTCACCCTCCTGGCCCCTGGAGGGTGACCCAGCGCCTGGTCTGTGGCACGTCCGCTGTGCTGGGTAGGCTCTGGCATTGCCGAAGCTTAGTCTTGATTGGTGACAGGATCACTTCATAGGAGGACCTTGCTGAGACAGTGAGAAAAGGGCTCATTTTCAGAAGTAAGCCAAGAAATAGATTTTTATTAGCAAGATTTCCAAGTCACACTCTTGCTTCCCCGGCAGCGGTGTAGACGTACCAGCCAGAGAGGGCAAAGGGGGGAAAGTCCTGTTTGCTCTGTTCCTTTCCCACGTCTGCTCCCTGCTGTGCAGTCCCCAGGGCTGGCTGCAGGGCTCACGGGACATGTCGCTGGGCTGGCTAACGCACTCAAAAGGGCCCGTAGCTGCAGTGCTTTGCAGGGCTGATACTCTGATGTGTTAGTGAGTAACGTTAATTTGTGGATGACTCCCAACACGTGCTGGAGCTGGCACAAGGCATACAGAAGGAGCTGTAATCTCTAAAAGACATTACACCCCCTCAACCCAACCCTGATCACTCTGGCAGCATCACCTTCCTGATTTTTTTTTTTTTTTCATATTGGGGAAATGCTTGGTGAAAGTCCTTTTAGTGGATAATAGGTGTGTTCCAACAACAGGAATTTACAGGTACCAACATAAGCTGTAGTCCCAACTGTGTAATAAATTGTAACGGTCTCCTAGCAGTGAAGTGGGAAGATGAAAATAACACTGTGTTTGATAAGGTGCTGGTCAGATGAGAATAACGCGCAGGGGTAGCATTCAAAGCTAAACAGCCTAAAGTTTAACAGCAAATTAATATGGAGCTCTTTCTGTGACATAAAGTATGTAATGATCAGTGGATCTTCTAAAAGCATATGGCTGTTCTGAAACATCTGCAACTGTAGGAATCATACTGTATGTTAAGGTTCGTATCTATTTTCTTGGAACTTGTTTGCCTTAGTCTTGCTTGAACAGGGCACAGAGATTCTTCATATAGACCAAAGGTTTAGAAAAAGTGGTGTTTGCTTTTGGAGCTGATTTTTGAAATGGCATGTTATAAAACTTTTTTTTTTTTCTTTTTTTTTAATTTTCAGAGCTTCGAGGATGAATCAAAGTGGGTTGAAGACCTTCTTAAGATGCACACTGCACGTGTGCGTGACATTGAACAACTCACAAGCTTGGACTTCTTCCGAAAGACCAGTCGCAGCTACACAGAAATCCTCTCCCTAAAGACATACCTGCATACGTTTGAAAGTGAAATTTAGCTTTCTAACCTTACTCAGTGCATCCTTTTATCAACTGGTGTATATTTTTATATTGTTTTTATATTTATTAATTTTAAACCAGGACATTAAAAATATTAGTATTTTAATCCTGTATCAAATCTTAAATATTAAACCTTTGTGTCATTTGTTTCATTTCTCTAATGTTTAATATAGGTATGTCTCTTGGTTTATTTAGTAGTGCTTGTAATACCGCAGCTTGAGTCCTTACTCTGAGCTTTTAAGTGGTGCTGCAGGATTTAATACATGCATCAAGGAAATATTAATTTCCCATGCTCCTTTACCACACTTATAGTCCTGTACTGTGTATCAAAATACTGAACATGTAAAGTTACATTCATTTACTGTTAACTATGTGACAGACATATTTAAACCCTATAGGCAAATAGCATCTTAAATATAATAAACCACACATTCAGTTTTTTTAATGTGTTTTGATTTCCTTTCACAGGGACGTTCAGAGGGACTTGTGGGCAGCTGAGAGCTGCCAGATCTAACTTATTGACCAGGCAGAGCCCTTCTCAAGAGCTTAGGTTTGCTGGTAAGAGGTCTGCCAGGAGCTGGGGTGCCCTGCCCCGCTACTCATCAGTGAGACCGTAAAACATACACCCACAGTAGTCATTACTGGTTAGGTTTTACCATAGGGGCAGAGCTGGGAGAGAGGGTTGGTTGGTGTTATAAGCTACTAGGTGTACACCACGCTTGAGGCCACTTGGCCCTGTTCTGGAGCTGAGGGGAGGATGTGAGGTGGCAATATCTGCTGTCACTGGTTGGGCTGTGTTGCGTCCCTCCTCCACCGTCGCTGCCCTGGGCTGGTTCCTGGGACTATCTGTTCCATCATCTTTTGCTTTGACTTTGAAGAAAGCTGAGCTAAGGCAGATATTGATGGATGTAACATTGCCAGACACCCAGCCAATGGGATTTACCTGGGAGGAGAGAATCTGATTCTTATAATCTTGTTCCAATGGCCAGAATTTACAGAATTTACAGAGTTTTCACCTAATCTGAGGCCGAGTTTATGAAGTAATGCCAGTCCTCATTCTTAAAGGAAGCCCTTTGGCCTGATTGCACATATAAAACTTCTAGTATTGTGAACCCCATACATTGCACGTGATTTACAACCATTACCTATCTGGTCAAATGGATCGAGTCTCTGTTGGCTGTTTTTGTGCAGTCACAGTCTCATAATCCTGGCAAGCCCTTGTGAGTGACACTGATGGTACAGTCCTAAGCCAATGGAAGAGAGACACTGTTGTGTATTGATATCAAGACAATGGCTTGATTGGGCTTGGAGAGCTTGTATAGAAAACATAGGATATGGAGCATTAGCCTTGGTGTAGTTAGATGATGTAAAAGATAAATTATTGTTTAGAATGCTTCTTGAGGCTGAACCTACTAATGGCACTGTTATGAAGCCATCGTTTGGGGTTACAGATTTCCCTCTCTCCACCAAAGTGGTTCATGTCTGTTTTCTCTTTAAGGGTTGCAACTGCTGGAGGGAAGTGGGAAGGGCTGGAAAACATCTTAGCCATGTACACAAACGAGTCATGAGGTCTTCTAAGTAATATTAATCTGGCACAATTTTAGCAACTTCCATCCCTGTAGTATCCATCTAAGAGAAAGAGTAAACTGGAATTAATCATGTTAACACTGAAGGTAAAGTTCTTGTTACCAGTAGAAAAAAATCTATTATTCTAGGTGCCTGTTCCGTTAAATTAGAATAGCCTCAAACTTGAATGATTTAAAATCTCCCCCAAATGTTAGGATGGAAATTCAAATGATTGCACAAAGCTCTGGGAAACATCCTATTCTTGCAAGTTAAAAAATGTCTCTTGTGGCTGTCTGGTAGCACAGAAACATTTTTCTGTAAGCTTTTGGCAGGGCTTCCTGCCACAATAAACTTTATGTTCTTGTATGTGCTACAAGGGGTATTTCCTCTGGATTTAAAACAGTTTTCAGTTAAGACCTAATTCCTTCAACACCAAATTTAGCAAGGATATCATGTGGTTGTTCATAAACTAAAGTGAAGACCACCATTACAGTGTTGCTTTGACATTCATCTGTTGCTTTGTTTCTTTTTTTTTTAGTGTAATCTCATAAATTACGCAAGTCCTTTATTTTCTCCCAAAATAAGATGACATTTATACCAAAGGAACATCTAAGCTCTGAAAGATACGCTTCTTGTGTTCAGAGAAGTTTGCTTTTGAAAAGCAATAAGTGAAGATTGCTGGGAGAGATGGTTTAACTCTATCTTGGTTTCACTAAAGAATGACAATTAGTCTGTAGTAAAGTGTGTTTTTTCTTTTCTTTTTTTTTTTTTCTCAGTTGCTTACTGTAAGAGTAAATACTAGTAATTTACTTCAGTTCTACTTCTCTGAAGTCCTTAGCCCCATGCTCTTGTATAGTATTGCTGCTTTATTTTACCATGCTGGCAGAAGTTGCTGTGCTGGGGGATGTTTGTGGTGGTTTCTGTCAATTGAATGGGATTTTTTTTTCTTGTTGAAAGATGTCTTATCAACAGAAAAGCTCCAGTGCAAAGCCAAAGCCTTGCAAATCCCTCTAAGCAACATGAGCTCTGCAGGAACAACAGACATATTCTAAGGAAACTTGTAATTTCCCTTTGGTATTCATCAGGGTGAATGTTAGCTTAGGGCAGCATGTAGGAAGGAACCCCTCTGCTTTCCATTCCTATTAGACCGTTTTGAAAATGTAAAACACCACTTGCTTCTGTTATGTGTTTCCTTGATATTATTTTGGCTTCTGCAAGAGGTCCACGGAGGAGAACAAGTGCTGAATTTTTGTGTCAAGCAAACACCAGTTCTGAGGGTTTGGGTAGTAACTGTTGGCAGTTGGTGATGTAAATTTGAGGCATGTTTAAGGAGTTAGAGGTAGTTCAGTTGGGCAGTTCTCAAGGCAACAAAAGCTGTAGGTGTGCTGCACAACTAACAAAATCTTTTTGCTCTATGAAAAGTCCTCTTGAGGTATTTAGGCAACTGGAATATCCCTTCTAGAGGAAACTTACTTTTTTTTAACCCCTTTTTTACAGTGACATACCAGAACAAAATCCTTAATAGATAAGCACTGAAAGCAGGTCAGGTAACCTGACCAAAAGCCTGGTTGTTGATGGCAAAATTACAGCAAGAGTCGCCATCCTACACTGCCAGCAGTGACATATTTAATTATAACTGATTATGTTCTGTCCTGATTAGATTCACACTTTCTGCTTGCTGCTGCTTCCCTGTTTGTCTTTTCCAGATTTTAGTCCCTTTAAATTGCAAGGACTAGATGATCTCGAGGTCACTTCCAGCCCCTGCCATTCTGTGGTTCTATGAAGGTGCAATGTTGAACAGTTCCTGCACTCACTTGGATGGTGGCACTGGAACATCATAATAGTAAATTTAAATGCCCATGTTTAGGCCAATCTTGCTGTGTCCCTGGAGGCTGCTCCTAAACAGTCCTGCCACAGTCCCCAGCTTCTCAGTGCTTTATATGCAGCCATTCAGTCAACTGTTTGTGTGAATATGTTAACAAATGAAAATATTGCACTTTTTGTAGGAGAGGCCATAAAACAAAAGCAGTGATAAGAGAGGAAGTTTCCCACTTCAGAAGACAGAAGAGGCTGAACAGGTTGAAGGTCCAGGAGGTGCTGCCAGAAGGGAATGAGGAGAAGATTTATTTGACAGGTTTATAAAGTCCCTGTTCCCCCCACATCCATAGTCTTCTGTTAGATCAGGCCTTCACATACAGCAGATGAAGTAACTCCCTACTTTTTGCACACAGCCAGGAAGCAGAAGACTTCTTATGGAAGTTGAGGGAGTTCCCCTCTGAAGGTGTTGCAGGAGTAGAACACGAACTCTAGAAATGTCAGGGCCTGCCAGTGAGACCAGAAAGGAGGGTCTGACCTGAAGGAAACAAATTTGTAGTGGCTGGACCTGACACTTCAGCAATCCTTCCCTTCAGTCTCATGTTCACCTGAAAGATCTTTAACTTTAAATACACATTACAGAGCTCTGAAGCTTACTTCAGCTGCAGGAGACAGGAGATACTGTTTGTAAAGCAATTGAGAAAGTTTCCTTAAAAAAAAAAAAAAAAAAGGCAGATCCTCTGACCCACAGAAGGGCAAATATGTGAGAGAAAATCAGGCTTTCCCGAAGCAAGGGAGTGTGTGGGTGCTACAGACCTGCCACCTCTCCTCCACTCCAGTATGGTGTGCTTCAAACAAGACTTGCACTTAAAGCAGTGAGGTTTATTCTGCTCTTTTGGCATAGAGAGACAAATAAGACTTCACAGCTTTCCTGGGAGATGGCTGTTATCACAAGCATGGATGTGAAACCGTGGCATGGAAAGGTGGAATAATACGTTTAAAGGCATGCACACAGTGAGCTCAGTAAAGTTGGTCACAGAACTCCTGTGTTGGGTTAATATTTGTGACATTAAACTTTTTTTTCTGGTGAGAGGGTACAGGGTAAGTTTCGTAAAGCAGAAGCTTAAGAATCATGTGACTGAAATAAAATTTGTATACAGGGGTTTAGAAGCCAAATTCCCTTTCTCTGGGAACTGTAAATCATGCTGAATTAGTTTTCATCAATCACATTCATCGAAGTGCTTGTGATAGGCCTGGTTCCTTACCAGAGTTCTCCCTTGTTTCCAGAGATATGCCACAGTACATGTCTGTCCATCCTGTCTGCAGTCCTAATCCAGCTTGGTTTCATGACTCTAGTTCCCATTTTCCTTGCTGTAGCCCCAGACAACTGTTGCACTTGACCCGAGAGACATGAGACCGTCACAGTAACACGTGTACATGCTGATCAGGGTAGACCTGCCAGCAACTGAGTTAACTGCACGTCTTCCAAGTGGGGTCATTGTGTGTTTGAAACGTTTAAAGTTCAGTGCTTGTTCAAGACAGGAGAAAGAAAGACATTTGAAACACTGTGGAAAAATACCTAATCTTGTCTCTTTGCACTTGTTGTGTAAATTTAAGATAAGAGCAGTATTCCCAAGGTTACTGCAAACAGCCCATCACTGCAGAGTACAAGCTAACATTTACTAAAATGCATGTTGACATAAAAAGCAGCATTGCTGCAGTCCGCTGCGGTAAACAAAGCCACAAATTTCTTTGCCTGTAAGGTCAAAAATGTGAGAGGTAACCAATTTCTCAGAGAAAAATCCCTGCCCTGCTACAGCATCCACAGTATGGGCACAGCTGTCCTGGAGCCTTACTGTACCTGCTCGTTTCTAAATAGGGTATGGAAAAACAGATGGAGGTCGCTGGTTTCATCTGCAGGTTTCACTATGGAGAGATCAGAAGGCACCGAAGTCAGGAATTGTGGATTAGCACAACTGCAACTGATTGACTCTAAAACTGGAATTGACTAGAAAAGAAAGAGGATTATTTGTCATCATAAACCCTCCATGGAAAAGGA